CCCCCCCCCCCCCACCCGCCACCTCACCCGACCTCCGTCTTCCCCACGCCTCCATCTCATCTAAAGAGTATGTTTCCCTCCCTCTGTGTGATGTGAGCAGTATGTGATTAAGTGCGAATTTCCCATCAGAACTCCGCTGATGTGTTGTGTGTCGAACTTCTATAGGTTAATTTTAATCTCTCATTATTTCAATTCTTGGCATCATTGCAATTTCAGTTGACACACTTAAAATGCTCACAGAGAAGATAATTTAACAAGTCAGTCCTTCTGGCTGAGGCGGGGGGGGGGGGGGGGGGGGGGGGGGGGGGGGGGGGGGGNGGGGGGGTGGGGGCGGGGAAGGAGGTGGGACTGAGTTTCACTCCCCCAATAAATGAGTGTGATAAAAGGGCAATTTTCCTCTTTGTTTCTGCTGGCTGCAAAATTTCTGCAAGTGTGCAAAGGCCCTTATTTTAAAGGGTTAAAATAAAACCAACTGTTCCGACAATCAACGCCACTGTTTGGGAATCAAAATAGGCACAAAGCGCGTAAGGTCCGATTCAGAAATATGATACTTTAAAACTTTTTTAAATGACGCCAAATCTGCATAACCATAAAACAAAAACGAAATTGTTATTTATTTTGAATTAGAGTAGTGAGAAGGATTTGCAGTCTTCCTATGGTGTAAACAAAATGCTACAGCAGGAGAATTTTCAAAGTTGTTTGATAAAAAATGATATCGAAGACGAAATAATAAGTTTATTTCAAGTTAATTTAACTATATAGAACAAATTAAAATATTTATTGCAGCTAAATGAAGCTCAACCAAATTCCTATTTCAGGGAAAAAATAATCCATATTTCAATATTAATCATGTCCAATTTAATACAAGATTTCTTATTGTAGTCACTTTAGCGTTCCAGGGTAGTTCATTTGCAAATTATAATTTATAAATAGCCTGCTTTGTAAAGTTAACATAATTTTCATATACAGATATATAAATTTGGAAGAGTTTAAAAATTAAGGATTTACCTGGAACGGAATCGCTGGGTATCATCACAAAATTTCCCCCTTCGTCGCCTAATTTGGAACCTCTGCTATTTGTATTCACATTTGCTTTGTTCCACACAGATTGCTAAAATAAATATGCAGAGGCTTAAATCAATATGAATAATCAAAAGAAAAAATAGACAAATTTGAGGCTTTTACATTGGCACACACGTTAAGCCCGAGTGAATCGTGAGGCACAGTGCCAAAGGAATAACGGACTGTTACTTAAATCAACAGAAACTTTATTGGCAATTCAGCCAGCACTAATTTTAGTTGTACTAAAACTTTCCACTAGAATCAGCTCCGAACCTAGATATTGTACATGAGTGAGATACATTCAAGGTAAACAAGTGAACAAAAGAACAATCGAATATAGCAGATAAAGAATAGAGAGGTGGGAGACAATTTGAAATGGGAGAATGTAAAAATGGCGAAATCGAAAACATTTTCATTCATTTGAGTTCTGAACTTACCAGGCTCAAGACGTAACTCTTTTGTGACACACTCTGGCACGAATCGAACTGTAAGTCTCAAAGTGATATCATACCTCCACCTTTCAGAACCAATCCCAGTGTGCCAACTTCTTTGAACAACCAAATGGAAGGGCATATCAGAACAGGGTTCGCTTTTAGACCACTAGTGATTAAATTTAATCCCTAAGTTGTTCTACTACTAAATGTAATCTTTTCTCACTCTAACACCAATCAAGTTGGTTTTAACAATAAAATATTGTAAAGAAATAGATATTTTAAAACGAAATGCTACCTCAGCATTAGTCATCAAAGGGACTGTAGACTTAAAGTTCAAGGGCGATTGGCGGCTTATGCGACCTCCAGAATTGGTACCCGAGGCATAAGCAATGTAGCCACCGGTGTTCAAAGTTTGCGTCCCATCCAAGGTAGTCGATTGCCTATACGGACTGGCCCTCGAAGAGAGGGATCCATCCGCATTCAAATCTAGAGGGAAAACAACCAGTTATAGTGTAAAGAAGTATGATGAAGGTAATTGATTCGTGATTTCCAATCAAATCTAATGTCCAACTACATCCAATATCCACTGAGTGTTTGAAATAACTTGCAAATGATCTTATAAAGCTCTCGAATTTTACGTGTCATTTTTAGTTTGGCTGTCCAGTCCCTTTCCTAGGATATTTTAACATCATCCTGTTGCCTCTTAATGACCTTATTGGCTTAAACAGGAGAACTTAATTTTCAGGAGAAGTGAATTGAACCAATCTGTCTTGATTAACGAATCAAGTTCTCTATGAACATAGATCCTTGAAACAAAATTTACTCGAGCCAATTATTAAAATTGTGTCCTATGACGATGTAATAGAATGGATGCCACTACCATACAAAAGGAATAATTTTTTTGAAAATTTTTAAATATCTACTCTTACTGAAAAATGAAATAGTCCGCTAGCTCATTCAACTATCAAAAGAAAAGGCAACTTGACCCTTCATGTCTAAGAAATAACGTTAGTAAGTTCTGAACATCTTAAGCATACACCTAACGCTAACTAGGAAGAAATGGTGAAAGTTTCACATCAAGCAATATTGTGTAAACCGAATTAAAAGTCAAAAGAAATACAATTCCTTGAAACTTCGACTACATCTACGTATTTTTGAACCTGCTTTCATGCGATATCGGCTTCTTCATACCAAAAAAAAATATTCTCTTTTTAATTTAATTTTAGGCAAAACTAGTAGAAAATTGTTAGCATTTCGACACTTCGGTAAGAGCACCTATTCGAAAATAACTATTCTATTTTAAAAAAAGAATGAAATTCTCTCCATTTTTTTCTCAATTATTTCATTAGAACGGAAAACGGAATTGATTAAGTATACCTGTTTAGATAATTTTATTAGTAATACGACCAAGACTTTGCAATTACACATATTTGTTTCAATTCTAAATTTACTAAAAGCAATTCATTAACAATCTGTCTTGGAAGAGAGGCAGTTTGTAACTATTCTAGACAGACGGCCTATCATAGCATCAGACCGGGTGCGGGAGAAAACTGTTTTCGAAAAAAAAATATTCCTACTTTCATTAAACTTAATTTAATTCGCAAATTTAAAATTTAAAAATATGGGCAAAATAACCAGGGCAAATGGAAATATTTAAGCAGGCAAAATCAAAAATTCCTTTTTAGGTGGGGGGGGGGGGTTGGGAGAGACTACTCTGTTCGTGTTCTGCTTTTTATCAAAGTCTTCAAAACTATCTTTTATAGTGTGCAAAGTTTAAAAATACATAGGATACTAAAGAATAAAGGCAAATAACATTCTACCCTTTCGATATATATATAAACGCGGGGTGTGTGATAGACTTACCTCCACATGGTGCACCCTGGGCAACGTATACTCATACGGCATAAAAGTCTATAAACCGGCAGTTGACTTCAAACTACCATCACCCCACTGTATGTCATATTCGACTACTTCACAGTACTCATCCCACCTTTTTTCCACCTTGTCTACCTTCGTCTTCGATACACTCTTCTGTTCCCCCCCCCCCTCTTGAATTTGTCACACTTTGATGTTCCTCCCCTCTGTGAAACCCGAAGTCGACTAAAGGGCTAATGATGACAATAATAATAACATATATAAACGCGAGTGCTTTTGATTGATCAACATATTCTACGCCTCGGTGCAGTTAGATGAAACTTCCTTAATAGATTTCAAAGTCGAAGTAGATATTTTTCAAATAAAAGCGCCTTTTTGAATTTGAACCCATGCTAGAACCGATTCCACGAATAAATTACTAGAGCATTTGGGATGCAATTTCCATAGCGGTTAGTGTGATATATCTAGGCCTATATGGCTTTCTTTCATTGATTTAAATCGAACATGGTCATCATTTTAATGCCAAACACAATTATTATTTGGCCCAGAAAGACTGTCTTGACAACTGTTTTGGCTATTATGACCAATTTAGTGCTGAGAATTCCTACACCTGATAGTTATTACAATAAATGCAGTAGAAACTAGTCGTATTCAATAGTCCAGTGGGATATATATATAAACGCAAGTTAAAACAGTCAGCGTCTGACCACAAAAGGAAAGCATTTTCAAATTTCAGTGTTTTCTCTTCTTTTCACATAGCTCAATAATGACGGCATTTACATTCTGGCATATCTCATAAATAAGGAAAGCAGAATTATTCTATACAACCCTATGATAATAAAGTGTTCGCACTTAATAAGCTGTCAGATTATGTTTAATTACAAATACGCGCATGTCAAATCTTCAGGATAATCAAAGAGGATATTTTGTTGCTAACATTTCTTGCCATCGGAATCAACTGATCCAAAAAAATGCAGTTGAGTGATCTGTGTAAAAATAATAATTTTTCAATTGAAATACTGTAGTGTACATAAAATAATAGTTTGGCGTCGTAATGCAATAAAATTCCACAATCAGGTGCGTGAGAAGATGTTAAGATTCATAGTCTGAACTGTACAACATTGAACTTTCATCAGGTCAAAATAAATTCTCCTAAAATTCGATGTTTGTCACTCCATATGCTTTATAGTCAGTCCGTATGATGAAGTGAACTTTGCCAGCTGAAGTTCTAATTCATGCAAACTCGCACCCTGGGCAACGTATACTCAAACGGCAAAAATGTCTATAAACCGGCAGTTGACTTCTAACTCCATACTGCCATGATCTATTTGTTTGTCGTATTCGACCACTTCCCAGATGCTTATCTTACCTTTTTCTCTGGCTTCATATCTTTCTGTCTTACATCCATGAATCACTCTTCTGTTCCCCTTCTCGAATTCTTGTGACCTTGAAGGTCCTCGTCTCTGTGTTGCTCGAAGTCAACCAAGGGCTATTGCTAACTATCATAAAGTCTGTCATTTGATATAAATAAGCGTTGGAAATGGTCAGTTTAAGGAATAAAAGTCTTTGCTGTGAACTCGAGGTAATTAAAATTTCTTTATACTAATAATCGCTTATTTTATTTCAAGGGCGTTAAAAGAGTGGTAAGTCCAACTGAGTGAGGTGGATTGGAAAAGGTTATGCCACCAAGTATTTACTCTATTTCCCTGAGTGTTATCAACATAGATGTCAAATAAAATGGCAGTTGCAGCTGAGAAAGAATATGGTGAAAATAGTCATTAACAGGCAGGAATTCAATCTTGCCTAGAATTTTGGGCGGGGGTGAGGGGTGGGGGTGAGGGGGGGTGGCGAGTCGATTATTTCTATTGACGCTACAAATGGGGCACTTGTTATACTAATTACAATCTTGTCTATTGATTTAATTTAACGTTAAGCGAATGTAAACTTTTTATCTTCGCTGGAAGATTATATATATTTTTTTTAAATTTTGAGCAAATGAATCTCGCATAGATTTTAGATTTATATTGCACAATTGTTAACCCTGCTTCTTCCTTTATAAAGTGTTTAATGAATCATAAATAAAAACTATTAAAAATACCAAGATCTAGAGCTAAAACTCTTCCACCATACTGCAAATTTCACTGAGATTTTGAAATTTCTGGCGATTATTTAGGGTAGATTATGGTTGTACGAATTGTACAAAATGTGAGCCACTCCATTATAGCATTTATGGACGCTTCTCAGAAAGAGAATTAGCATTTCGACGAGATCATAAGTACATCATACCTCAGAATCTTAAAATAACCATTTCGACTAACTTTAAGTTCACGTAACTACCTATTAAGAGAGATAGAACGCGTTTAAGAAAATTGAAAAAAAATTTAGGAAAGTAATCAGCCTGTCAATCCTTAGGGCCAAATCAGGCATGCAATGATTTTAAATGGATAGCAAAAAAACAAATTTGCGTCTTCGTCTTTCTGTTCAAATTCATCGTCAAAAAAAGATATTTAATGGAAATAGCTAGTAAAAGGTTAATACAACAGCAGTTTCCTCTCTCTAAGTCGCATTTCAACTTGTCAATTTCATCCAAATAGCAAATGTTGATGTCAATTTATATGATAAAAAAGAAGGAAAATACTATTATCAAGGCAAATTTAATGTAAAGACTGTGCTCTCTACCTCCAAAAGCTCTTAGTCAGTAATTTTTTGGGATAAATTTAATTGCCGGTGGAAATGAAAAGTGCTGAAGCCAATTTGTTTTTCAGCATGGAGTTAGTTTAGCTAAGAGCCCACTCATATCTCTTTCATCACGTTGCCTTAACCTCGGAGTAGCAAAAAAACGGAACTCAAAATTGAAAGTGGTAAACATTTAATATCTGTAGACTCATCGTCGTGAGGTAAATTAAGCTACCTCCATAAACTTTTGAAATCTCGAGAAAAATCCACAGCCTTTTAGTATTCATTTGGTAAATTAAATTATTTCCTTGCTTGCATAAAGGAACATTTCCTAGCAGGAGAAAAAGGTGGATATGATGGGAGTTCAAAGTTATCCACGGCTGAATTCCCCACTCCTTCTACCCCTCCATCCTCCACTCCCCCCCCCCCCCTCCCCCCCTCCACCATCTGCAATAATGTTACATTGTTTAAATGAGAACTCATTTACAAAGTGTGAAAGGTTGTTTGAAAGGAAAAGGATTGAGAAGCACTTTCTGCTGAGAACGCTTAGAGAAGAGACAGCCTATAACCCAGAAATGACTGCTTTCACTCAACGCACCCTATTTGCTTGGAATTCAGGAGAATTTAAAAGTTGATTGGGAATGATGTGTTTACGTCTGATAAATTTCAGACGTCTTTTTGCTTTGCAGAATAAGCAAAGGATCGAAATCTTTTAAGAAAACGTGTGTAGCTTACGCCAAATAATTTTCAGTAATAGCAAAAAGTTGAACCAGTAGCTAAAGAACTCAAATGGTAGTATATATTCCTTGTAGGAAGGACAAAGGCCTTTACAATGAAGCATTTATATAAAAAATGAAATTAGGCAAAAAAATAAAATAAATGAATAAACAGACCACGGAAAATTTTTGTACCGTTGTGAAAATAACCTGGAATACAAAGTTTACTTTGGTATAGATGAGTCAAGGCCGACTATAGCACTGAATATTTTCGATATAGCCTCACCCACTTTCGTGCAGTTAAATAAAAATATAAGAATTGAAAAGAAAGTAATAATAATTGAAAAAAGACCCGGAGTTTTAAATTTATTATATACATACTATTAACATCCTTATAGAATTCGTTTGCTGTTTCCCCGTTCCAGTGACTACACAATTCCCATGAACTCGAGAAAATTAAGGAAAAGTAAATTGTTTACGAATTCAATTAGACTTTAGTTATAGCTAAATGTAAAATATATATATATAGTAAAGCTCTGCGATAATGGAATAATATAATGCACACACCTAATCTTCCTCTTTTATCTCACAATTACTAGGTAGTGGCTTTAATAGTAAGGTGAGGAAGCACTGTTTTTTCTTATCCCCAAGACAAAAGTTCATACAAATGATAAATGATCAATTAAGGCCGATTTGGTACTATTCGTACACCCAAATTATGTTAAAAATGCTGATACTTACCCCTAAGTCCCAGACCATCATCCTTTTCACTGATTATGCAACGTGAATACGGCCTATTTCCAGGTAATCGAAGTCCATGAGGAAATGTTCCAGTTGGATGAACGAAGATCTCATGTTTGCCATCTGATAAGAAGGTGCCAGCTTCACAGCACTGAGTTGTCACTGCTTGATAGGGTGCCTCATTTCCACTTCTCTCCCTCCTCCTCCGCTTTGATCGACTGATAAGCATTAGGATAATCCAAGCCAAGAATAATCCAATTAAAAATATAATACATCCACCTAGGACAACGCTCATCATTGTCTTTGCTGGTAGTCCAAAATACCTCTTTTCCCCTCGTGAGTCATTGCGTCCTTTCTCGTTAGGCAGTTGAGAATTTAAGGACATGTATTCTGCCAGAGTTGGCTGATCTTGAAGCTTTATCAGCAGTCTCTCAACTGGCACTGGACGACCTTTCTTACTACTTGGTGGCCCCATATCATCAGCTGATATGACAAGAAGAAAAACAGAGTCACAGTTCTCAATTAGTCGACCGGAGTTCACAAACAACTCTCCTGACTGCTTGTCAAGATAGAAAAGCTCATTTGACACCGGGCCTTGAATGACAGAGTACACCACCGTTCCATTCTGTTCGAGATCTAAGTCGACAGCCACGACTCGACCAATAGAACTACCCATGGTTTCACGACAAGAGACATTCAACTGGTTTCCTCCCTCATTTGCGGCACTGGCATTTGGGAAAATGAATACCGGCGCATTGTCATTAGTGTCACCGACTTCAATAAAGACTTCCGCAGTGCTTGAAAGACTTTTTTGCGTTACACTTGAGCCAAAATTCTGAGAATCCGTTACTCGCACAAAGAAATGGTAGTGCGACTTTGCTTCTCTATCAAGAGGCTGCCGTAAAAAGAGTTTATTATCTCGAATGACGAAGAAATTGTGGAGGTTCTCGGTTGCGTTCTGCAATTCGGAAGCATTTCCTAGTATTTGTGAAGGCTCAATAGCAATGGAGAAGCCTTGATTTCCACTGTCCACATCAGTTACTTGAAATGTTATCAGCGGCTCGTAGAGTTGTGTATTTTCAAGTACTCGTATTATGTATGTTTCCTTATCAAATTGAGGGTGATTATCGTTTACGTCATCTAAGTGCACGACTATGTTGGTACAGGCTTTGTGGATTCCGTCATCAGCACAAAGATTAAACTTATGATTTGATTTCTGTTCTCGATCTAATTCGTTTTTGGTGTAAAGGGTGCCGGTTTCGCTGTCGACTTCAAATAACTGATAATCAAATATATTTCTTTGGTCCGCATCAATAGAGGAGGCAGGCTCAAGGTGATAGGTGAGAGTTGAGTTTATGTCATTGTCAAATGCTACAACTGGATTTGAATAACTATCACTAACAGGTGTCAACTTGGTCTTTGGTGGACTATTCTCCAAAACTTGGAAGGAGTAGAAAGGGTGCTGAAAGGAAGGTGCTTCGTCGTTCACATCTAACAACGTGACTCTGATGCGTTTTTGACTATATTGTCGAGGGCTGCCATTATCAAAGCACTCAATTGTCAAAAGATACTGGGCTTGTGCTTCGCGATCAAGTTCTTTAGTTGTTTCTAAACTGAAGAAGTCAGAGAAGTTATGAATTCTGAACTTCTCCGTCCAGTTTAATAGATAGCATTGTGAAGTTCCAGCATCACCTTGATCTCGGTCCGTAGCACTAAAGAAAACTAAAGATGTTCCTGGAGGATCGTTCTCCAACACTGTTAACTCATCCATTCCAGTTTTGAGAGCCTCAGCAGCATTATTTACAGCACCCTGCAGCTTAATCTCTGGCGCGTGATCGTTGCAATCATTAACTATTATTTCCAGCGTCATTGTGGCAGTTTTTGGCTCCTTCTTTATACTATCCACAATTGCTTCCATTACCTTTTGCATCGATTGGGACAATAATTTCATTTCGCCCAGGTCCGGCTCGTAATTTGAGTCTATTGCCAGCACTGGTAACACATAGCGCTTTGTCTCTTCATAGTCAAGCGACTGCTCCAAGTGTATTTTACCAGAATTTTTATCAATAGCGAAGATGGAAGCTGCTTCACTGAGCAAAAAACTCGGGGAAAACTTGTAGGCTATTTGATTAGCTGGAGGAGCGTCTTTATCTTCTGCAATCACTTGGACAATTGGCACTCGAAGTGTTGCATTCTCGTAGATATGGACCACTCGTTTGTTGGATTCAAGAGTTTTTTGAACCTCCGTGTTCCCATGAGGTCTAACACCCACAAACCTAGGTGCAAATTCATTGACATCAAGCACATGCACTTGAATGATCAGGATTGCTTTCTGACCTTCGCCATCCTCAGCTATAAGGGTTAGTTCGTATTCGGATTGGGTTTCGCGATCCAACTCCCTAGCCACTTCTAGAGTTAGACTGTCCTCTTTGGATTTATAAGACAATCGAAATGGACCCACAGCCACCGATGATGGGGAACCTCCAGCAACTGGAATTTCACTCCTAGTCGAATCCGAGAAACTCATTCCATCTGATTTCTTTAAGGCAACCGAGTAAGCAATCATAGAATTTTCTGGAAGAAAGTCCTTATCTTTGGCAGTGGGTAGTTGAAATTTCTCCCCCACCCCTTTGAAGCCTTCGAAAAATGGCACATGAATCCGTTGAATGACAGAGTTGGATTCTGTTTTAGGAAGAGTGAATTCTGGGGCATGGTCATTAAGATCCTGAATAACAGCTACGATCCGTCCAACTGGTTTTAGTGGAGTAGAGTCACCGCTATTTGCTAAAACGACAGCTTTTATTTTGCATGATGGTACAAAGTGGCTATAAGGCAAAAAGCTGTCCTGACTGACTGTATCCTCGGATCGACAGCACGTCTCCTCGGCACGACACAATTTGCCAGATTCAAGATCCAAACTATTCTGCACTATCAAGGAGTAATTTTTGGTAAGAGAGAAGAAGGAACTAAAAACACCTGGTCCAAGACGGACTTGACGATCAGGCGAAATTTGTAAAAAATCACGGAGATCCGGTAGAATAACACTGCCAACTGTTGCGTTTTCAAACACCTGTAGTTCAAATTTGTCATGGGAGTAAATTCCTTGACCATCTTGATAAATCCTCTGAGCATTGAGAAGTGGAAATAAAGGAAGAATTATCCGAAGGACTAAGATTAGCATTGTGGAGTTATAGCGGTGTCTCTTACATTCGAACGGAGTTGTAGCTTAACATTTGAAATAAGGTGAAGTGAATTGTGAATAGAGGTGGATATGCTGTTGTACTGAAGGCCTAAGAGAAGTTGATTTGGGCACTTTCTGATAAAGCGTTCGGCCATGTGCCAGTGTGCACGAGTTCCTGAACACCCATTTGTCGATCCCACGGCCTCTCTCATTGGCTAGTGTGCATGATACATTGTGATTGGTCCAGGGGAGGGATGCATATGAATTCCGGCCTTACGGAGTGTGATGAATCAATCGCTGATTTAATTCATTTCCTTCCCTCATCATTCGTCACCCTTCTCGTTAGAAATATCTTCCTTCTCAGGATTTTCACTTAAATGGCGTTTAAGGGCGTGGTTTTTGAACACGATAATTATAGATCAATCAAAGCAGATGGGGAAGTCTTCCAAAATGGCTTATTTACCTTCTTTTATTTACTGATTAAACTTTCGTCTCTTCATTTTAATAACATAGCTGTCTGCTAATTCATTAAGCATCAAACCAGTAAATTTAAGTCCCCCCCCGGAATTCAAGTTTATATATTCCTCCATTTGGATAATTAATTTTTTTGCCATAAAGCAACCTAAAAATGGCATTTTAGTAACATTTTGACTATCTGACAGGTACATCAGCTTTTAATCCGAACGGGTTAAGTATTTCGCCATTGTATACTTAATGGGAATAGAAAGAGAGTTGGGTAACACGGTTGATATAGCAGCCGTTCTCTGCTCAAGGATAGAAATGGACAGTTTTGAAGTTGGTTAAATTTGTCTTAGTTATCTCTGTCTCCCCCTATCCGTGTTCTGCCTCGCATAATTTCAGTAGGTCAGTGCGCAGTGGCTACATCTAGTTGCACGAAAAGGTTATGACCGCAAGCTTACCTGTCTGCTTGGTTAACATTGCAATGGACAAGGGAGAGGTAGGGGGAGGGGGGGGGTTAATTTTTTCTATATTTATTCTTATCCATACATATCGATATATTAGCATGCGAACTCTTTCGAGTGTAGCGCGAACGGACAACTATTCTGCGAGAGAAAATAAAAAGCAATTTTAGGCGCTTTCTTTTTTGCCATTAGTCCAAAAGTCAGGCCGTTTCCCTTACGAAAAGGAAAGCACATTCCAATCAGAAATCAACGGTACCTTATTAGTGGTTATTAATTTACTTATTTGATAATTATTTTAAATGGCATCAGGGAATTAAATTTTTCCCAGCTCTCCCTCTAATAAGCAACAAGTGACTTAGAGAGTTACGCTATTTTATTCAGCTAGACTTTCTTTAATAGTGGTAACTGTTTGTTATTAGAATAAATCAGGACTTGGTAGTGATATTGAATTGTGTTGCGTTTTGCGGTCGATGCAATTATCGATTTCCAATCCTCGGAACATGCGTCGATAACCCACTGCTAGTTCGGAAAAATTTCTCCTCCACTTCACAACTATGCATGCATGGAAGAGTGCGTTATGTGGTTCTCTATTCGCTTCATTCCTCTATGACATTCTTTTTTAAAATAAGGCCGGTTCAGACCATAGACCTTTGTCCTTTATTTGGGGCATTGTACGTGGTTGAAAAGAACAGGAAGATTGATCAATTGAAGAAGGGTTGGTGGGCGGGGGGGGGGCCGATGAGGTCTAAGCAAAAGAGTAATGGTGGGAATAATGACTAATAGCAAACCATGATGATCAGGGAAATATTGTAGATACAAATCGATGAAAATAGTATAGGAAGCAATTATTGCTTATTTATTAGGTGTGGTCTTGCCTGTTACAGGACATGAATAAATCAAAATGACGTGAATCCGGGTGAAAAATGTTGGCATCATGAAGTAAGCTACATACTTTATGAGAATAAGCAGCAGATGGTATTAAATCCGCATTGTTTGAGCGTGCATACCTGATACATCGATTTTCAATCAAGGGTAGTAAAAGTTTTAATTGAGGCCGGAGGGGGGGGGGGTTTGAAAGGAGAACCAAAATAGATGTATGTTTTTTCCCCTAAAATGGTGGAAAAATAAATACTTAAATTCTCAAATTTTGCAATCGATAGAGATGAAATTGGTTAGTGGTTGATCTTATCTGCCAAGTTGACCATGTGCAAGACCTCAGTTGCGTCTACCCATAGAACATATTTCATGTGCTTTCATAACCTTCCCAGAAAAGGTGAAAAAAATAATGAAATGCCAATTTAATCAACACGTGGGGTCTGTACGCATGGGTGGCAAAGGCGTGACGAATGAAGATTTAAAGCTACAAGCTATCTATCTACAGTAGAATGGATAGATTAAATCATTTTATGCACAGCACAATTAATTGTTAAAACATATCGTTGTTGCCACAGCAACGGAGAAGACGTGAGGCCAAGTATCAGATTAAACAAAGTATGGACGAGAGAGGGAGGGAGGGAGGGGAGATGGGGGATAATTAGGTATTTTTATCAGATATACTAAAAGGGCGTGGGACTGAATGCTTGAGCAGCGAGTCGGAATTTGAGTGAAGCATATCTGCCTTACTCAAAATGTTTGTCAAAAGTTAAACCGCAACTGCAACTATTATTTGACCAAACCGTGATTGGCACTAGAGTTTGTGCGTGAACAGAAGTCCACATTTTTTTCTTCCGATTACAAATTTAAATGACACCTCAAATCCACACTCGTTTTAAGATTATCTCAATTTATTCCCAACCATGCCGAGATACAGACAACTTCGACCGTGAGTTTGTGTACACCTCCTTGAATTGCTACAAAATTGACGTTACTAAACGTGATAAATGCGAAGACTCATCTTCCTTAGAAATTCGATTTCAACTGTTTAATCACGGTGTACTTGCGATATCCATTCACATCACTGAAAAAGACAATCACATTTGAAGTGGATCAGTTGCATTTTTTGAATCTCGCAACAGATTCAAGGCCATAATTTTATAATTACCGTGATTATTTAACCATGCAAATATTATAGAATGTGGATAGTTTAGTAAATTTACAATTTAAAATGTGCAAATATGGTGTTTTTAGGAATTCACTACTCCGCCACTCTACGATAAACCTTATAAAAACAATCCTGTCTAAGCGATACTAAGTTGAATCATCTCTCTTTTAAAAGAAAGCAGACCATATATTATCTTATATCGGCCAAAAGAGTGAGTGAGGTAAAGGAAGGTTCGCCGATTTAGAGAGCAAGAACAGGGGTTGCAAAGATCTAGGGGTTCTTTACTCAGTGAAAGAGAGCCGTATAGATACCTTAACCCACTACCGTATTGACAAATAGTATCTGTTAGATCAGAATCTTCTTCATATAATTGAACGCCAACCAACTGCTGGACCAATGGCAGTTTTTTCAAAGCTAACTGTCAAAATGTCAACAGCAGAGTACGTTCACTTACTGATTTGGTTGTCTGCTAGAAACAGGGATGGGTTTCATTTAAAGGCGGAGTTGAGTTGACTGTCTGGCGTTTTCTATTGGTTTGATGAGCTTCCATGATGCAACCATAGCATGACAGTTTGGACAGTGACTCTTCACCTTCAATTTGGGAAACAATTTCACCAAATTTTCAGGTCATTTTAAGCCAGATATTGAAGTCGGCCAAAAACTCGGATATGGATAAATATCAGTTAATGAAATTAAGGCAACACATTGGCGTAAATTCCTCAACTTTTCATTGATGCGACTTTTAAACCATATTCCACGAATATGAGGTTTTTTTCGATTAAGAACCACGCCTATGGGATCTTCCTGCAGTTTTGAGGTTTGTCCAGTTCCTCAATGCCCCATCTCTATTCGAGGTATTTTTAATAAGGAGGAATATCGCCATAATCTTTAATCCCTTTATTCACGTTTCATTCGAAATTGTCAAGTGCCTTTGTTTGTCCTTGACCGTCTCACGTTTCTCCTATTCTGTGAGGTAACCAAATTTTCACTAAATTTTTGGAATTTCTATCACAGCATTTGATGGGTAAATATGGAGCATTTTTTAGTGACATTTTATTTGTAATGCCGTATTTCGAATGCTTGACTGATTTATAGACGGAAGTCTCGTCTTAGTATGGTCCTCACGGTAGCTAAATCGAGCAAATATCGGTGCTTTCTTTCCTCAGACAGAAGATTTAGATAATATCTTGGCGAATGCATGCAAAATAACTTCCTCCAAGCATACTCATTTGACAATTTTTAGGATATTGGTGACAAATCAAAAATAAAAAATTCATACCAATTATATTAGTGCAGGAAAATCGATCTTGGTATCCCGATAATCAGTGACAGCGACGCCTGCATCCCCTCAGTATATTCAATGTTTACTTATTTTGAATAGCAGGTGTTTTGATAATTATCATTAGCCCTTCAGCTGACTTTGGGCTTCACAGGGAGGAGGAGGAACATCAAAGTGACAAAAAGTCGAGAGGGGAGGACTGACTAATTATTCACAGACATTAAGGAGACAGACAGACACAAAGGCAGAGAAAAGGTAAAATGAGTACTGTGGAGTTGGTGGAATATGACATAAAGTGGGGTGATGGTAGTTTAAAGTCAGAAGTCAACTGCCGGTTTGACAGACTTTTTTGCCGTATGAGTATACGTTGCTCAGGGTACACCACGTGGAGGTAAGTCTATCGTACACCCCATATACTCAATGTTGTGGAAACCGAGTAGAGGTACTCAAACTGAAGGATCTTCAGAAATATACATTCTTTATTTGGAAAATGCACTGCGATAATACTTACATACAACAAAACGTACTTTTCCTCTAAGCAACCGAATTATACCCTATTCGAGGCATGGTTACAACTTATTAACTGCCACAAAACAGGATCAATTGATGGTTGTTAGAATAACAGCGCAAATTCCCTTTTACTGATATTTAAAAAGATTCCCTGAAATTCCCCCCCCCTTAATGATATTAAACGTTAATCAATGGAGGCACTCACTTGTATTACAATTGTTTGGGCGGGGTGTGCGATTGACATACC